CAATATTACATAATAAATATAAAATTCCCCCGTGTTCCATAAAGGTGGATTTGATTTTATCTGATTTTTTGCCGAAGTCGTCTCCGATACGTCAGTGGAGGATGGGGATGTCGCTAGAGTGGTATATTTAGCAGAATGCTCCTCTGATTCATCCTTTCCTTTTAAATTATTTAAAGAGTACATAATCGAATTATAAATCTTTTGACAAGTGAAGATAACCGAAATCTAGATGTACTTTTATTTGCTAATGGATAACGAATTTTAAATTTATTAAATTTTCGAAAAAAAAAAGTGTAAAGTGTAATTCTGGATTAAAAGTGAAAATTCCAAATAAAGCTTTCAAATTAATATTGCGCTGTGAAACAATATTTTTGATTCTCTATGGGATCACATACGTACTGTATATACAGTATATTATAATTAGTGTTTGTTGAATTGGTTGAGATATGTGTGTCTGTACGTAAACTTCATTATGCAGCTAATGATAAAATTAATAACCCATTTTATAATCTAACTAAAAAGCATCAAATTTTTATACTGCATATACAGTATTTTCAAAAAAAAAAATTTTTTTTTATTTAACTATAAATATTCATTTAAAATTAAAAAAACTTTGAAAATATAGTTAAAAAATTATTATTATATTAAATAAAATATTCTCACTATAAAGAATATATTAATAAAATAAATTTTGAAAATCAAATTTTATTTTAACCTATTTATTAAACCAAAGATGATTTTTTTGTTTATTTAATTTAATAAACAAAAAATATTAATTATATCATCATATAATTTTAATTACTTAACAAATATTTACTTTTGATTATTATTAAAAATAAAAAACAAAAAACAATAAAGTTTATAATTTAATTAGTTTTTTAAATATTTTTAAATATTTGAAAACATATATTATATTTGTATATAAAAAATTTTTTTTCTTTATTTTTTATTCTATAATAAGTTAAATTTAAGTTAAATTAATATTATATAAAGTTTTTTTTAACAAACCAATATCAAATCTCTAATATATTATATATACAATATATATAATATTGATTAATAATATTCAAAAAAGTATTTTTGTTTAAAAAAATATAAATTAATATATATAATAATAATTTAAGACAAGTTTCTAAAAAATAAATTATTTATTTCTCTTATAAGATTTTATATATATTTGATAATTATAAATAAACATATAATTTATTATTATTATTATTATTATTATTTAATTTGTAATCAAGTTGATATTATTTATTTATTTAATTATAAAGAATTATTAAAAGTACAAAAATATATACAAAATATAAACCTTTTTCAATTCAGCTTACTTATTAACAATTGAAGTTTCTAAATATGATTTATAAAAGTAATAATAATATTTTTTTAACAGAAAAGATAAATTCAAAATTTTCAATAAAATTAAAACTTGTGAATTATTTTTACAATAATAAATATATATATTTTCTTGTTACTATAAAATAAAATTTGATTGATAATACAATTTTAAATTAAATACAATTTTCAACTATTTACTATATGTTATTTAGTAATTTTAATATAATATAGTTTTTAAATTCAATTTTATTATATAAGGTAAATATACCTAATTTGACGTACTGCTAATATCTTATGGTTCCTGTCCACAGATAACTCTATATTAGATTTTCTTGTTTGTTATAACACGTATTTGATCAATCAAATTATTTAATCATATGTCACAGATTATAAATTGATATGTGATTGTTCGAATACTTTAATAGTTTCTGTTACCTAATTTAACTATGTCAAAATATAATAATTATAATACCCAACACACTGCCATTAATAATACCCTTAAGGTTATTAAAAACTCAACTAATCAAATTTCAAGTACTAGAAGCATTGCAAAAGAATATGATCTTTTAGAAACTATCCTCAGATATACTATCAATAACAATAGTTCCTTTTCTTGCCCAGGCTATACTAAAGTTTTGACAAATCATAAAAAAAAACAGCTGGTCGATTACTGTTTAAATATACAGAGACTTGATCTTGAATTAACCAGGTTCAGTATAAATTAGTATGTAATAGAAATTGTTAGTTGAGACAGGTAACTCAATCCTTTTAGTAAAAATAGTCCAAGGTAAAAATAGTGGCAATGCTTTATGAAAGACTACTCAGAACTGTCATTTTATATATCACAAGCTTTAAACGAAGCCTGTGTACAAAAAACAAATATTATTATTATTATTAATTACTTTAATAAGCTTGAAAAAATTATTCAAGAGTATTTATTAACTCCTGACAGAATTTGGAATATGATACTATTTTTTTTTTTTTTTTTTTAGGTGAAAGATGTTTTGCGCATGTACGTTTTTATTAAGTAATTTATATCCAATTATATATATACTCAGGTCCTTTTAAATTAATCTTGCTTTACACTTATAAACTTATCCAGTGTATCAATTGATATTATAGAGGTGAATCCGCACCCTAGGTGGGATCTTTAGGGGAATAGAAATCCTACTACTAGTTTTAAACCATCTAACCTAATTTAGATCCTATCTCAACTGCATCCGTTATGAGAGAGGCACAATATTATCTTTCAGGATATGGTTAGAGAACACCTGGATATTTTCATATATATTTTTTTGCCCAGAATCTCAAAGAAGATAAATTACTCTTTGTTACCACCTGCAGCTTCCAATTATACTGCAAATATAACTTTCTTTTAAGCAAGTGCCAAATTGGGATAGCCCTAGGCTAAAGTATTTTTGTGTGACAGAGTCTATTGTCGCCAGTTTGGATTAGAGTTTTTGTGAACTTATACTGAAGTTAGACCAGAAATCTTTTCTTGTGCAATCTTTCTTGCTTTGACCTGTTTTCAGTCTGCAATCATTGGAAAGATCAGAGATCTCATCTTTATGCAGCCTAACTAAATTTGGAGATTGATTATTGGCTAATTGTGAGTCAACTTGGGATTGGCTTTGGAGATTATAGCAAATGTATCAATACAGTTTTGGCTATTCATATAGATAATAACCTTGTTTTTTTTTGGTACTGTAAGAATTACTATCAAAATGGCTGTGGCCTTTACTCTGTATAATGATGGTTAATCTTGAACTCTATATTGGAATCTACAATTGGATAAAGGTCCTTGAGTTTGAATTTATATGGTATTTATTTCAGTCTCCTCTTTTTTCATTCCCCTGTTCAGAAGAGATCCATCTGTATAGAATTTATATTGGTAGGTTGTTTGTATGACATTTGAGTGTAGTGAATATTTGTTATTAAGCAAAGCTTCTGTGAGATCTGCTTTATAATTTTCTGACTTGACTGTTTTCTTGATTAATTCTATATTCCAATTCAGTATTGTGATCTCCTACAGCTTGACCTTTTCTGTGTAGTTGAATGATATCTTAAATACTGTTAGTGCTCGTTTTTCAAGTATATAGAGGTTGTAAAGGATTCTTGTCTCTTGGGTTTTGTTGTTGCTATGTGTTTTGTTTAAGAAGTCACAATCCAGAATATTATTTTTTCCACTTTGATTCTGCTTGGGACTTCTGTTATTGGATTTGTTTTAAAGTTACCTGAATTGCAGGTAGGTTCAATATTGACTTTAAGAATAGTTTGTTCTAACCCAGATGCCATGTAGCTATAATAGAAAAATGTGTATATTTTATCTGCTGGAGCATTTTTTGTTTGTATTTTTTCCTATTGTATTTTGTTTTGCTCATCCTGAAACATGCACTATTTCTTGATCCTTTTGTCTTATGAAATCTTGCTGAACCAGCATGTGTTGTTTTTTTTCCATGACCTAGATATCTAGTTATCATTGAGCTTGGATTCTTTATTGTCTGTAATCTTTTCTTTAAGCTTATTGGATGTGTCCTTTATTTGAACTTGGGAGTATTAGTTTGATAAGGTTTCAATCTAACAGAATTCCAAGTTCAGTATCAATTAGCTGGTCTATATACATTAGTTATCTGTTTTTGAGTGATTAAATGGACTTTTTGTATAGATGGTCATTACTTAGTCCATTCTTAATAGTAAAGGAGCCTTTGACCCATTGGAAATTATCTTTCAGATACTTGTTTTGGAATCTGAATCCTATCTTGTTAACCAGTTTTAGGACTGTGGCTGCAAAGTTGCCTTTGCTTTCAAAGGTGTCTGAAATATTTTCAGAAAGGATATTGATTGGTTCCCAGTTTTTAAGTTAGACTTGTTTAAGTTTTATTACTGTTGATTCATTAGCAGCTCTCCTATAATTAAGTCTATTAATGAGTCCTGTGATTTGTAATTCTGTTTAAATATCCTATATATATTTTAGATTAAAGATTCCTTTATTATAAATGGCATCATTGGAAATAGTACTGCAGACTTCTGCTTTGTACTTCAGTATCTTTCTATATTGTTTTATAAGTTTTTCACATTCCTTCCATGAGATGTAACAGTTTTATGTTTTATATTTGATTCTTGAGATGAAAACCCTATTGAATATATATAGAGCTTGTTTGTCTGTCACTTTTTTTTCTTTGAGTACTGCTATAATTTTGTCGATTTCATGTTGGATTTTGTAGATTGTGTCTTTTTTGAAATCTTTGCTTTCAATTCAAATCCCTAGGAACCATGTTGCTTCATGGACCTTCATTTTATGAACTAGTGCTTGATCTATTTTAGCTTTTATAAAGTTGTTTTTCAGGTCTTCTATGTTATTTATGTTTAGTAGGACTTATTTGAGACTGTTGATCTGTGAATCATTAACTTTGTAGAATTCTCTGATATCATTCAGGATTTCTTGTAGGTTTGACTTGGAATGGAATATCCAGATGGTGTTATCCATATATGCTATTGCTGCACTTTGCAGTTTGAGCATTTGTGTTTAGTTTGATGTAATGTTTGGTCTTCATATGCATTGCATAGTGTATTCCATTTTTGTGTTTTCTTGGATTTTGCAAACCAGTGAATCGTAAAAGATATGCCAAAGGAGCAGTAAGATAGCATCTTCTTAATCAATGCCATCACCTGCTGAACTGTGTCTGTAAGGCCTTGATCTGTTATGACTTTGAAGTTTCTTTCTTGAAAGAGTGTAATTAGCAATTTTGACATTTGTGCTGGAATTTTGAGTTTGTTTAAGGCTCGATGCAACATGTCAAGATTTACAGTATCAAAAGCTTTGGCTGTGTCTTGAAATAAGATGCAAAGTTCTTTCTTTTGTTCTTTTGCTTCTTTACAGATGTTGTTAATCAATTGGATGGGTTCTTGTGTACTTTCTCCTGGTAAGCCTGCAAAATTTGGTTCCTTGAGAATATTTTTTTCCTTAAGTATTGAAAACAATCTGTTTGTAATCAATTTTGTGAAACATTTGTATATTGTTTCCATTAATGCTATTGGTTTTGTGTTGCTAAGCTCTGCTAGCCAGTCTTCTTTTTTTGAAATTGAATAAATGTTACTTTGTTTCCATGAATTTGAAATGGTGCATAATGTGAGAGAGGCATGGAAGAGGTTGGCTAAAAATGTCTTGCCCTGGATCTTGTGCTTTTTTAAAATCTCATATGAAATGCCTAAAGGTTCTGGTGCTTTATTATTTGGGAAATCTTTAAGAATATCTTTTATTTTGGCTATGATAAAACATTCTAGAAGAAACTTAAACCATTGGCAATCTATATAAGGTCTTGGCTTGTATTAATCTTTTCATGTCTTGCTAAGGCTTTCAAAGTTAAAGTCTCATTTTCTAAATGCCTTGATATAGTATTCTTTTACTTGTTATTTGATTTCTTGAGGTTGTGTTGTGATATACTTGATAAGAATATGGAGCTGATTTGGTGTAGGACTGTCTTCTTTTTTTGATAAGATCATAATTCTGTTTATTTTGACTAATGTTCTATAGTTGTCAGTAAGGAAATCAATCATTTTTTTTTATTGCATTTGTAATCTAAGCAACATTGTGCCAAGGTTAGATTAATGTCTTTAAGTTTTTGTTTGTTTTTCTTTCTTATATATATTTCTCTGACTGCCAGCACTATTTTCTTGACCTCTTTTTTCCAGATGTCCCAGTCAATTTCTTCCATATTAGTTTGTTTGCTGTAGTTTTGAATAGGTCAGATCATGAAATAGGACTTGTTAAATTTGTATATAAGACTTGAAAGCTTATATAGGTCTATGACCTTTTTGAAGATTTTGGTAATATTTAAAGTCTTGAGAATATGCAGGACTTTGCAATACTCAAGAAATTCTGGGGAGTGTGCTTTTTTTCTTGATATTTGCCTTTTGCCTTTAACTTTTTTAGTTGTTAAAATTGAATATACTAAACTAATCAAGATAAGTTCAAATTCTTTTCAGATGTTTTTTATCTAATCTGTTAGTTCTTGAGCCAGTATTATTATTGTTGTTGTGTCATTCAGATGTTGGTTATATGCTGTTTGGTCTGAATTTTCCTGGTCTTTTTGTATAAGATCTTGAATAGCAGTATTGAGATTGCTAGTCTGAATCTTTTTTTCTACTTTCTCAATGAATTTGGTTCATTGATCTGTAGTAAAGTCTTGGTAAAGTATTGTTATTACCTTTTCTTTTTTTCTTTGAGGTGTGTGGCCTATGCATTTAGTAAGATTGGCTGTAAAGAGCTTAAGGCAAAGTAGGGTATAATTACTGTTGACTATGTCTGAGGCTTCCTTATTGATGAAAGAGTATATGTTATTTAGTGTAATGTCTGACAAGGTCCAGATATAGTCTATTCTATTATAGGAGGCTTTACCAATCCAGATTGAGGATGGAGCTCTGCTTTTCAAGTTTTGTGAACATCTGTGAAGGCCCAGTCATTGAGAAAGTTAAACAGTTCTGCTTTTGGCTTTCAGTTGTTAGTAAGTTTGCTATTGTATAATCTGTCAATAGCTGGGTTGCTGACAGTATTGAATTTTCCTATAAGAATGATTTTGCTCTTGATTTTGGTTTCTGTTATAATAAGTTGACATATCTTTTGCTGGAAGATGTAGCTTTCTTTCTTGTTGCTGGGCAGGTATATTTGAATAATAACCAGTTTGCTTTTTTTGAAGAAAAGGTATGTTGCAATGATATGCCTATCTAATCTGTCTATTTTTCTCACATGTTTGGAGAGATCTTTTTTGAGTATTAGGACTATATAGGGCTTCAAAAAGTACTGAACTGGTATTGAACTGGTATTGAAATAGTACTGATCTATAGTAAATTTAATATATGAATTGTGACCTACTCATATGTTTTTATAATAAATTTAAGTATCAAAGTGGTATCATTAGGAGCCCTAGAGCTATATCAGTTCTATTTGGATTTGTTTGCACTGAACTTGAATAGCATTTGTAGTTGAATAGTTTTTGAAAACAAAGTGTATACTGTTAAGTGATAGTTTGATTTCACTAATGCCAAGAATATCAATTTTCCTTTTTTCTATCTCTGTTATTAGGTTGGCTTGGTCTGTGATCTGGTTAATGCCTCTGATATGGTGGTATGTCAATGTTGATTGGAAGGGAGTGTTGAGGAGAAGAGGAGTATGGAAATGGAGAGGTAAATCATAGGAGTGTGTCTTGTTTCAAATTGGCAGTAATTGGCTGTAATGAAAAATCTTGTAATTAGCATTAGTAGTGTAATCACTATTATAGTATATTGTCTTAAAAGGTGATACTTGGTTGTTAGCTATTTTTGGGAGTTTTTTATATTTGATCAAATAGCTTTTTGATTGGCCAAGAGTTTGATTAGATATTGTTATGTTTGTTGTTATATTAGCTGATCTTGTTGAAGTGTTTGATATTAGATATTGTATGTATGAAGTAAGAGAGGTAATGTATAGGTTTTTTTGCTCTAGGTAAATTGTTTTTTGTTGCTTGAGAAAGTTTAATATTGAAACAGTTTTTCTTTGTCAGTATGTAAAAGAAGATTATTAAGTGTTGGGTTTGTATTTGAATGATGCTGCAGTCTTTCTGCTTTTGTATTTGAGCTTGACCAAAACTCAATAGCAATCTTTCTAGGCTCAATCTTGATAAGTTCTAGGAGTGGTTGGGATCTATTGAGATTTCTTTTGTTGTTGAATAGCTTTTTTCCAGGTTCACTAATTTGATACTAAAGTAGTTTAATTGTTTTGTTATTTGGAAAAGTAGATCAAGCAGTATTTCAATTGGATTAAGCCTTGTATTTAGTTTGTTAACTTTTTTTCCTCTCTTGTGTTTTTTTCTTTTGAAGTTATATTGTGTGCTTTCAAGTAAGATCTGTATATTCATTTGCATATCAACTTGTTTTGTTATTCTGGTTGATATTTTGTGAAGAATTTCATGAGTAGTTTTCTTATATAGTTCTTGGCTGTTTTGTGAGTTCTTGTATGATACTCCAGAATTGTTTTTTGCATTCTATCATGTTTGACTTCCAAAGAGGAAAACATGACTTGCTGTTGCTTGATGCAGACTCTTTTCATTCTTGAAGCCTATGATTGCAAATCTTCTTTTCTTTTCTGATATAATTTAATATAATTACTTTTAACAATCTATAATTTTAAAATATAATGTTAAAGAATATTTTTAAAATTTTAATAATAATTATTATATTATATATTAATTAAAAAATTATATATTTGTTCAATTGTAAATTTAAACTAAAATATAATAAAAAAATCTTTCAAAAAATCTTTAACCATTTTAAATAAATAATAAAATTATCTTTATATTAATAATTTGTGAAATAATTTAATTCTTATAATAAAGCTATTGAAATAATAAATTAATTTTAAATTTAAAAATTGTTAAATTTATTTATTGAAATAATTTTTTATTATAGTTTTTTAAAAATCTTTTAAATTAATAACTTATAATTTGAAAACAATATTAGATAATATAAAAAAAATCTTAATATTATCAAAATAATATTTATAATTTATAGAATATTTTTTAATAAATTTATATTAAAATTCCATAATTAATTTAGTTAATGCTTTCAAGAGCAAATTACAAATTAGACTTTTAACACTTTTTATAAACTTATTTATATTTAATTTATTTTTATATAAAAATAATATAATATATTTCAAAATCAAAAATTTTATTAACAAAAATAGATAAATTTGATTTCTAACTTTTGTACAATATTAATCCAATTGTTCAAATTCAGAAAATATAGCATTGCTAAAAATATAATACTTAATGAAAAACATTATAAAGTTAATTCCAACAACAATCTCTTAAAGTGCTTTGACTATTTACTAGATTTAATCCTTAAATACTCACATATAATAAAATTCATAAGCTCGGTTTTTTTTTCTTTTTGAACTATTAATAAATTTACATTCGACTTTAAGTTTCACCTATGCAATATAATTAAAAAACTAAAATTTTCTATAGAAAGTGAACACTTACAATAGCCAAGTCATGTTATATAACATCATTTGGTAGTATTTAAATACCATTATTAAAATTAGAGATAATAGAAAAATAATATAACCAATTCCTTCAAGAACATAGACAGATTTCTTAGTCTGCCTGAGAAAAAATAATTTTATTCTGTATTTACCGAATAAAAAATAAATTTAAAAGCTTTTCTGAGTAAGCTCTGCGTATAAATCACTTCTTGATATGGAACGAACAGATTAGAGATTTAAAATTTTTATTTATTTCTAGTTAGAACATGTCTTCACTTTTATTTGTTATAATAGTCCCTTCGTTGCGATATACTGCATTACATGAGCTTCTTGCCGCAATTTAAATATATATATTGGGTACTTTGTACATTTTCGAAACTTGCTCTGGAGGCGGAATAGGAACATCACCTGTAAGGAAAACAACATACATTAAACATCCCATCCCATCAGTAATTCATGTTTATTAATGCTTTCTTACCATAAATATCTGGAATTTTGTACATATTGGATGTTGATTTTTCTTCTTGTTTACCCTTGTTACCTTTTCCGCTCTCCACTGCTTTGGATGCCATATTGCTGGCCTTCCCATCAGGAATAAGAATGAATCGCGGAGGTTTAGATGTTATATCATTATCCAATATATAATAACCTCTACGCTCGAATTGGATTATGTCA